CTATATTTATATATACCAGTTAATTTTTTTATATAAACAACTACTATATTGATATATACCAGTTAATTATTTTATATAAACAACTATTATAGTGATATATACCAGTTAATTATTTTATATAAACAACTATTTGATTAAATGTGTCCGGTCCGAATGTAACCTAGTGGTTAGTGTATCAGACTGGAGACCCAAGAGTCTCTTGATCGAGACAAGGTGTTACCAAACACTTTGTGCTTTCATCTGTGGGTACGTTATAACAGTGACGGTCAGTCTTATTATTGTGTACTGTCGACTAGCTGCATTTCACCTGACTTATAGGAAAAAAATATTGGGACGGCTATGCCTGAACCACAGGATACTCTGACTTGGTCATTTAGCTGATTCTATGCATAAGGTGTCATTCTGATGAAACAAAAATATACTTGTATAATGACAAATGATTCTATAATTTAGGAACTTGCGATCTTTCATAATAAATGTTTAAGCTCTCTCCGTTGTAGTAGATATTTAAGCATTGTATAATTCACTAATGAATGTAGTATTTATAAAGCTCTTATTTTATTTTTTTATAGCTTTAATAGTAAATGTCATGAGAAAAAAATTTATCAAAACATTATCTTATTACAGATCATATGTAGTGACCCTGGCAGACCCGGAACATTTCCCTCTTGGGGACGCCGAAAGAGATCTGTTTCGAATGGCACAGAAATTTCAGGACCTGCCGCCTCACCCATCCACATAGGCCAAAGTAGCACAATAGCATCGCCATCTAATGGTACAAACGAAGAGGAGAAAGAGGAAGTACATGAACTTCTGAATGTTTATCTATCACGGTCTGACATACCTTCTGAGGGTCCAACAGCAGGTAAGCTCGAACTGATATTTCTTGATTTGACATATTTGTCTTAAACGAAATAACGGAGGTTTCTTTTTCATGCACTACTTGTTATCGACTAAGTAAGTTGTAAAGCAAAGCCTTTAAAATAACGTCAAAAGGAAAATAAACTGTTATATTTTACATTTAAAATATTGAGCTTCTTTCAATGGATGACTTAATGTAGCATTAACACAGTTTAACACTTGTGTTATTGTAAACAAATTGAAGCTTTCTAGTTGTTGACAGAACATAAAGTTTAATTTTCTGTTATACTAAGTTAATGAGATTTATTATTAAAAACCTGATAAAACGTATGTCACTGATTTTTACCGATGTAAACTCTTCAAAGTCAT